CCGTCTTAAGACATTTTGGAAAAATACCATTTTGGAACGACATGTTCATTAAAGTTGTTAGCTGATTCAGAGTGCTTTCTGGCAGATTCGAAAACATTTTTAAAGTTAGCCCGTCGCGCGTCGGTCCCAGAAGAAGATTTATTTTTGATGGTATTAATTATACTGCGAAGCTCTTCTAAAACTACGGGCGAAAAAAAGAAACTGTGTAAGTTTACATTTTCATTAGAGAGATATGAAAGTGGATCATGAGAAGGACATATGGTATTAGTTAAGTTTTTCGCTACATTTACAAAGTAATCGTTAAGGTTCTCAGAATCTATAAAAGCTGTACTATTTTGGTGATCTATAGGGCCCGTCTGCGTTGAAATGGATTTTTTCCGCTGCATATTATGATTTATACAGGCCTTATCCTTTGTAGCAAGCTTTTCCAATGTGAGCGACATTTGTTTAACGCTCTGCCTAAGGTCAGCCATTTCCTTCGCCGTTTCTTCCTTAGATGGGTCATGAACTTGGACTTTAACAGACCCATCATGGTAGTCCATTAAAATTGATGATAAATTGAAGGTGTTGAAAATTGACCTAAATAAGGATTCTTGTGTGGTATCTAATATCCTGGATATGTCATCAATTTTCTTGAGTAAAATTTTCCATTTCGAATCGTGGTCACTCAGCATGTCATACATTTCAGTTATGACTGGAAAAATGTAAATATTTTTTTAAACAGAATCCTAGTGCTTCGATGATTTCTGGTTGGACCTGGCGTTCTTGAAACTGTGTAATTCTATCATGAACATATTTTAATGTAGGGGAATCGCAGACAGTGCAGAAAAATCTAACATTGTGGTACTTTTGTTGACATAGCACCTTTGTTGTTGCCTTATCCAGTCCTGTACAGGTTATACAAAAACTTCTTCGACACTCTTCACTACAGCGAACTTTATAACTGTCCTTTTGAATTTTTTGACAAGAATCGCACTTAAATTCAACCATAATAATGTAAATGATTAATAATATTAATAAAAGTCGATGACAGCTGCATAAAATTCGGAAGTATAAACAAGCTAAAACTCACGCACAGCGGAAACAAGTACGCCGAAAAATTATCAATTAATGTTGCAAAAAATTAACACAAGTAAACAAAGTCAAGTTTAAACGAACAGTGAACTTTGAGTTGATTTCGGGTCAGGAACAAAAACAAATCAAAAACAAGTCAAATCAAAACAAAACAACCATTGAACGGTTGTTTTGTTTTGATTTAACTTGTGACAACCAAACCGGCAAACAAAACGCACGAACGGTAATACAACCTTCTCGTACGACTGCTAAATTGTTAACTCTTACTTACAGCGGGCATAAAGAGAAGACCACTATTCCAAATATTCAATGTCATATAATATTGGCCGCAGCTATCATGAAATTGAGCAATTAAAAAATTATAATAAATATTTTTTTTCAAATGGAATCCCACTTTTTCATTTCAATAGCGAAAAGGTTTTTCAATTCGTTAATTTTTGATTATACATAGGAACATGTATAATCAAAACTTAAAACAAATCTTAATAAATCGTTTTTGAGTTATACATATAAGATTTAGTTTTAAAGTGCATATTTTTCTTGATTTTCACCAGTAGCCTATGATTTTTTAACGTCAAGTAATGCAAGACAATATATCTGGCCATGTCAAAACTTTGTTAAAAAATCAGTTTGTCATCAATCCTCATTTCCAAGCCAACTTTACGCCGTTTTTTTTCGATCATACGGTATATTATTAAGAATATCAACTATTAGATATTACTAAAGGGCAAAAATACGAGATATATTTTTGTAAATATACTTTATAAAGTTTTTAACAGCATTTTATAATACGAAATTCAAATAATAAGTTTTCTGCCAGAAGGAAATAAATTGGCTGATTGACACTTAATGTCAAAGGATCTAAGCTAAATAAAATCAAGAAAAATATACGGTTTAGAGTTAAATGCTAAATTACTAAAAAACGATTTATTTTAAATTGCGATTTATTTTAGGTAGAGGAACGTGCACAAAAAATAAAAAAATAACAAATTAATAAACCTTTTCACTAGTGAAATAAAAATGTGGGTTTCCATTTGAAAAAAATGATTTATTATAATTTTTTAATCGCTCAATTCCATGGCAACTATGCCCAATTTTATATGACATTCGAACAGTTTAATTTTTGAAATAGATACCCACATGTCTCCTCTTGATATCACAGTGACTATGGTAATCACTAACTTGTGTTGAGGCTATACAAATTTTTTTGAAAGGCAGTTTTTTTGTCAAAAAATTTTAAATATTTATTCTCAAAAACGGTTAATGTTAGGTATAGAGAATTTAATCTCAAAATTCATAAAATTTTACAGAGAATTGTATGTATTAAAAAATGAGGGTACCTATTTCAAATAAGAAAGTTGCAGTCAACTTCCGTTATTTCCGGAAGTGCTGCCATATTGTAAATATTTTTAATCGATAGATATCGTTGTTTCTCAATGATGTACAAAAAATCTCCGATCTAGATATTGTAGTTATCTAGAAACTTCTAATGCTCGCTCAGCCTGGAACACCCTGTATACGAGACACTGACCATTTAGTGAACATGCGGCAAGAATGGTCTCTTTTAACAGGGTTTATTGAAGCAGCACGGACCCGAAAGATGGGGAAACGGTTTACATTTCCAATCTCACTATTCGGCTTTGTATAGGACTCGGAATCGTTCCTCGGAGGTTACAGCTTTGTAAATCTTAAAAAATGTTGCTCGAAGATGCATAACGTCATTCATCCTCATTTCCTCAATGCCACCGAATGGTTATAAACACTTGACAATCTAAGAGATCCTAATTGGAGTTTGACAAGTGATTTTATTCGCCACTTCAACCAACCAAGCGTCAGGTGTTAAGTTTATATGTTTATATTATCCCAACATTTTTGGTAATTTTAGATAGCCCTGTCTAAATTTGAGAATTGTTGAAATGTATTTACTTTAGCTGCCGTACTTCCTCTAGGAGACGCGAGACATTGTCTGTTGGTGGGGAAGCTCCTAGTCAGAAGATAGGAGGAACTGACGCTTCGTTGGTTGAAGTGGCGAATATAATCGCTTGTCAAACTCCCAATTAGGATCTCTTAGACTTGTTAGTGTGTATAACCATTCGGTGGCATTGAGGAAATGAGGATGAATGACGTTATGCATCTTCAAGCAACATTTTCAAGATTTACAAAGCTGTAACTGTGTATGTTTATCTACCCTTTCTATGGGTCTTGTATTAAATGTTATAATGGGTTTTTAAACATATCTGGATTTCTGGATATTATCAAATTTAGTTTTTCTTGATGTTTATGTTCAAACCCATTGCTTTACTCTGTTCTCCTACCTTGTTGACCAGTTGTTGTAGATCGTGTATATTATCTGCAATCAAGACCGTATCGTCGGCGTAGCGGATGTTATTAATCCACACTCCGTTAGCTTTGACTCCCATTTCATCGTCCTCTAGAGCCTCTTGGAAATAGCCTCTGAGTACAAATTGAATAGGAGTGGGGGCAGCACGCAACCCTGCCGCCGCACCCCCTTCTAACTTGTTTGGGATTGTAAATGGTATTGGCCAATTTTATTTGTGCTGTTTGGTTCCAGTACAAGTTTTCGATGCATTGTATGTTAATTCTTAATATTATTATTAAAATCTACTTCGACTCAATGAAACACTTCTAACCTCAAACAACAAACATCACATTAAAGTTGCACTAGTAGTAATATTGCGACACATCATTTAACCAATATGTCGGTGCATTTATGTGTTGGACAATATTATTTCTTTTGACTGTTAACACATTGCAATTTCTGAAGTGTAAGCAAGATGAAAAAATGTAGTACAGTTTTGATTGTTGCGCAAGTTTTAAAGTTGCAACGATAGTCTCACATTTAAATTTAGGAATGGCGACATTTTTCAGATTGCACAATGCAAAAAGTGTACAAGTGTGCGAGTACCTCGGTCAAAAGAATGAGTGGCTAGATAGAAGACCAGACTCTACTGGTCTCAACCTTGGGGCACCAGGGGGCAACCCAGGAAGATCCCAATGTATGATGAGTTATAGACTGTATGATGAGCTATAACTCAAGAAAGGAGGACATAATAGATCTTTAAGGTCGAGGTGATTAACCCGCCCTTATTACAAGTAACTCTAAGTTACGTCGAAATAGAGCTTTTGTGACACCAGTGGATTGTGTTTCTTTTTCTTTTTATGTACGTATGTATGTATGGACTGTGTTTGAAAAAAAATTAATCTTCAACCTCAGATTCATTAATATTGATACTTATTCTTCTTCACTGAAGTATGTTACGCATTAATTAAATAAAAAAAATAGATCATTACTGTATCATTTTGAAATCTATTTTATTTATTATCAGTGACGATGCTAATTTATCAACTGCGATTTTTTAAATTAAAGATTATTTTATTCGAAAAATAATTTATCAAAATAGAAATCTCTTTTTAATCCTTTAAAATAAACATTCATAGCTTCCTACTCGATAAAATATTTTATAAAAGTATCGTTTTTATAATTAATTAGTACTACAATCGACTGCGTCTCAAGATGTCAAAACTATATAATGTACTATTAGTTTTGTGTCTAATATAAGCCTGTGGAACTTTGGGGAGAATAACTATGAGGGGTAAATATAAAATTTTATAGATTTATAATTATTACAAAAGCAAATTTCTAAGAAAAACTAATTTTCTTGATTCTGAAATGTCAATAATTCACATTTTAGATACAAGTTGTATCAAATTACGCCAAAACAGAAGATCAAGTGGAATTCCTTCACCAAATTAGACTCCAACGGCCATTTTGACTTCCTGAGACACAGTCGTCTGTTAGGAGACAATAGCGAGGTCATAGTTGCGCCGGAAATCCAAGATTTTTCGAAAATACCTGATAAACTTTACCGCTTCCGGTTTGGAGTATAAAATAACTGTAGAAAAATGTTAAAGAGTAAGTAAAACTTTCAACAGATGATTTAACAGCTTGAACTTAATAGTCTCTTAATTTTGATTATTTATACATTGTAGATATACCCATATATTTTTTTGAATTTTTAAGAACTCTCTTCATGCTAATTTAATTTAAATTATTTAGTATCGATGTGTATATTCATAATTCATGGCGAATTGGCTTTTTATCTAGGTTTTTTAATTTATAAATATTTTATTCATTGCATTATTAATTTTTTAACTTCTACATTTATCTATCATTCATTTCTTATATCTAGATGTATTTATATGCATATATTCTATCTCAGCACATCTAAAATTATGAAACTTTTTTTTTTACAGAGCATTGGAGACAGAAACAGCACCAAACAGTACGAATCATTACCAAGCATCCAGCTCACTCTTTACAGAGTTTGTATCACACGCAGTGGTAATTTTTCAAGCTATAGCCATAGAAATGTATTAAATATTTTTGTATATTGACGTTTTCATTTACAGATGAACGAATATTTGCTTACTTTGGAACGCTTATATCCTCATATTGTCCAAGTGGAATCCATAGGCAGAACTTTCGAAGGCAGAGATCTACTCTTAATAAAGTAAGGGACATTATATTGAGTAATAAATATAACATTTCTAAGTTTGAGATAATGATATTTGAGGAGTTAGATGCTAGAGGATGTATTAATAATAATTGATAATGAAGTTTATTATTTGGTACCCTGTATCGTTAAATACACCCCTTTATACTGGATGTTTTTAAAAGAAATGTGCCATCTCTCGTGGGAGATGGTACGGGATCCTCACGCAAAAAGATTTATTTTTCATATCAACATAGGTTCGATTCTGCTTTGTTTTGTAGCTACAGGGTGTTAAAGTCTTAATATGTTTTCATTTTCTTCCAAGTACTTTTAGCGTTTCGAATGAAATTTTGAGGGAAAAAGTTACTATATAAACGCCAATTAAAGCTAATTTTTAAGCTAAAAAAGTGTCGACACATTCACTAAGGACTTGCATATGGGTATCACTGGAATATTTTTCTAAAAAAAGCAAGTACGCCACTGACTTTTTTCCTCTTGATAGCAAAATAGTGTAAGTAGTTTAATGCCGATTAAAAGTTGTTTCTTAATATTTTGTCGATTTAGACCTCCGTGGTGAGAAAAACGCAATTTTATGAATTTGTTTGATCCAAGCAACCTTTAAAACATTTAATATCATAAATAAGTACTCATTGTTTCCTCATCAAAAATGAAAAAAGTTCCTATAAACATGGATATGAAAATGCATAGTTTTAGAGGTACAGGATATTATTTTTTTTTAATTGCGTTTACGTTTTTTGTAATTATCTTAAATGCCATTATTTTTATTTGAAATTGCTGTAGGTTAGGTAGGTATGTAGGTCTAATAGTAATAATATTTAATACTAAATTAGGTAAAATATATAACGTATTAATTTTATTAATTGTGATTAATAAAATTGCGTTTAGCCGAATTCGACAAAATATCATGATATATCACGAGATCTTTTTCATACCGTCCTATTTTTTGGCATAGGCTCTCCTGTAGCCCAAATTTTTTCATAACTTCGTTAGGAATCAGATGTTCACTATTTTTCGACTCTATTTTCTCAGCTTTTTTAAAATAAGTATATTTCATTAATGGCACTGACTTTTTGTGATTTGGCTTTGGCTTGTTATATCAGTACTAACTCTAAAAACAACTTATCTTGAATATTTTAATCGTTACGATGTCACATATATCTACTATTAAAAAAGGATAATCCACTTCTGATGTCATTTTTAACGTTACAAACGGCAGTACTGCATGCGTATGCAATACAAATTTTACTTAATACTTTTCAAGTGCCTTTAATTCTCCTTTTAAAGTAAAGTTTGTTTGTCTGTCCAACCAGTTAAGGAAGAATAATGATTTAAGATGCCGTCAGCCGGCATCTAAATAATGACTGAAAATATAATTTTCCTATAACATAAAATGACATTCAACAACTCTGTCAGTGTGTATTTTCCCGCTAAATAAACTTTACATAAATAAATTCATAATTTATTTTTCGTCAAAGTCTGGAGTTTGTTCTGATTTCAGATCACTTGTCCGGAATTTCCAAAAACTTGTATGAAAACCCTAAGTAAAGATAATAGTTAATCGATATAACTATAATCAGTTATATATATGTCACAGGCGTATCGAATAACTCGGCATTTTGCCTAGAAAAGACTAGACTATTATAAAACGCCGCCGTTTTTAACAATAGGCGAATATTTTGCAAAGAGCAAGAGCCCACCTGATTTCAGTCGCTTTGCAAAACGCCTAATGAAGACTAGTCATATTGCACAAAACATTTTACGCGGGATTAATAAAACTAACCTAAATTTATTCAACGGCATTTCTTGAACTTCTCTTTCAAAATTAATTTTATTCGAAAAGAAAAGTTCCAAAAAAGAAAGCAAAGTTTCAACAAAGAGGCAGCCCTGTACACAGAATGAAATTGCAGAGTATAATAATTAAACGGGATATTAATATTAAGGTTTTAATATATTTTGTATTTAAAATTATGTTAGCTATAATTATAATTTATGAAATAGGGTTCAAGTTCTTTTCGTCTAAACAAAATAAAATTTGACAAATTATTGTTTTGTATAGGAAAGTATGGGGTATTCCTATTAAAGCGTAAATTATTCAATATGCTTATGCTCATAGCTGAGTAAATTTTAATCATTTTTTAATCTGTCTGGGCTCAATTTGCCATTTTGTAAAACGACTGAAAACAGACAGTCTTTTTTGCAGAAGTGTACAAAAAATATCGTCATTGTTTAATAAGCCGAATTCTGATTAGGCTTTTTGTAAAGTGACTGAAAATAAATAGACTTTTTGTAAAAATTCTTTCTTTTGTTTAAAAAGCCGGCGTTTTATAAAATGCCTAGTCTTTTCGCAAAAGCTGAATTATTCTATGCGCCTGCGACATATAAATATATATAATAATAAAAAATATTATACTTTATGGAGCCTAGTCCCATGAAAACTAGATGCGCGCCACCAAATTTCAACGTATATGGTCTAACAACTTTAACTAAGAAACCCGATTTTCTCCGCAAAATCTCGACGCCACAGCGAGCTTATATGATTTATACTCGCGCCCAACGATGCCAATTTATCATAATATTACCACGTTTGAATATTTAAATATGCGTTTCAGAATAGGAGCCAATCCCAACAATCCCACCATACTGATAGACGCGGGCATCCACGCCAGAGAATGGATAGCGCCACCAGTGGCATTATACATCATTAACCAGCTAGTGGAGAACCCGGCCAACTACCGACTCTACCAGAACGTTAATTGGAATATAATTCCTAGCCTAAATCCGGACGGATACGAATTCTCCCGGTCCTCCACATGGGTAAGTAGGAGATTACTACGCGTATCGCGAGGAAGGGGGAATTTATGTGCACAAAACGTCTTGGAATTAGAGTATTGTTCGCGGGATTGTCTCGTTCTCGGTATTGTTCTGTGCATAAAAGTCGGGAATTTAGATAACTAACAGGGTGGATAATCGGATATTTTTAAAGGGAAATACACTTTTCTATAGCAGATAGACGAAAACAGATATCGGTATTTGGAGCTCATTTTTTATCAAAAACATGATGGTAAAGCAGCACATCGATATATGTTACCGTTTCGGAGTTACACAGTGTTTGTGCATTTTTAGCAAATTGCTGTAACAACAAATTTTTGCTATGGAAAGTTTTGTATTTTTATAAAAACATTTCCAAATCACCTTTTTACGTAGAATTTATTGACTTAAGTATATATATCTTTTTAAATTAATAATTTACGAGTTATCAACAGAAAAATTGATTTTTTGTATGGGACACCCTGTATATTAATAATTAATTGAAAAGAACTTATAATTACCTTTCCAAAAATATAACACACTTGATATTTTGTTCCATTCGGTCAGAGTCCCCTTCAAAATACCGAATTTTTATAAGTTTACCACTCTCAACGAGTAGGCTTTAGATCTCGTATTGATGATCTGCCGCTGATGAAATTCGGAAACAGATTTTTCCAGCAAGACAAGGCACTGCATCACAACGCGGAAATTATCAGCAATTTGTTGCAGCCAATTTCCAGAATAACCGTCACGCCGTCAAGACTTAACGCCTATGGATTTTTATCATCGAGGAAGACTAAAGGATCTAATTTTTAAATTGCTTGTGTACTCTATACAAGAACTAAGAGTACTTAGCGATTATACGAGGGTATCTTCCACCCTCACTGATTAGGCGCAATTCTCACTATAACGTCCCGTCACAGTCACACTGCGGCGCAGTCCAAAGCCTACTTATTTTTAAAAACTCTATATTTCGAAAAACCATCGATCAAAATATCAAGTATGCTATATTTTTGGAAAGATAATTTTAAGTTCTTTTTTAATAAATTAAAAATATACCGGGTGTCCTATATAAGAAATCAATTTTTCTATTGATAACTTAAATTATTAATTTATAAAATATATACTTAAACCATTAAATTTTACGTAAAAGGGTGCTTTGGCAATGTTTTCATAAACATACAAAATTTTCCGGGGCAAAAAAGTTACAGCGATTTGTCAAAAATGCACATTTTTGAAACACCCAGTAACTCCGAAACGGTAACAGATATCGATGTCCGGTTTTTACCTTAATATTTTTGATAAAAAATGAGCTCCAGACACCGAATTAGTTCTCGTCTATGTCCTATAAAAGTAGGGTGTTTCCCTTTAAAAGTGTCCAATTTGGCTCACCCTGTACAGTGTGCATTTAAAAAAATTAATTTCCTACAGAATTTTATTCTTAGAGAAGTATCTGCAACTCAAATCACTACAAATAAACTAATCGATTGAAAGCATTTGAATAAAAATTGAAGTCACCTCAATCCAGACGTCCATCACTATGACGGATAGTTTGTTATTCGGACGCGATGTCCGTCCCCAAGAGAAAAAATTCCGTTATTCAACATTTTCCGTCAAGTGAATTCAGTTAATTGCAAATTATGTTACCTGAGAAAAATATAATGACTGAAAGCATAATAAAATAGATATAAAATGGGTTTGCACCTTGCGGTTTTCATCATTTTCCTTTGGAAGGTACATATTTCCTACTTTAAAATACAAAAAAAATTGTGTATGCACTATGTGCGCATATTTGAATCAAAATCTCTTCTTACTGTCTTCCGTCTGTTTGTCTATCCGTTTGCCCGTCTGTTCGTCTGACAACTCCATTTGGGTACCTCTATCCACGTGCCACGTGCCGAGTTTGGTTCCAATCGACCAATAATTAAGAAAAAAACTGATGATTTTGTCCATTTAGAGGCATCAATCGGTTCGAAACGTCGAGGGCTTCATGCTGTAACCCGTGGCCAGTCATGCCGAAATCGACCCACATTTTTTCCAATATCAAATATTAGTCCCCTGATGAAGATGTAAACGAAACATGATATCCAACTTTGCAGAGTTGGACGCTGTGCACCGTGGCTCACATAGCCAAATTTCATCGTGATCGGACGACATCAACTTTTGACACACAGTGACACGTGTCGTACACGGTTAATTTGGCCGTGGTCCAATCTAGTACAATGCTCAAAGATCAAAAAATCAACGTTACCACTTCTTCTCTAGAGGCTCGTGTGCCACGGCCTTCAACTTTTACTCCCATCGTGCGTAAAGAAGTGTACTTTCACAGGTACAGAAAAAACACAGTTATCTCTAACTTATCTAAAATGTAAGGTAATTACAAAATACGGGTACAGTATGACGAGGGCCGGCAAAATCTTCATTTCTCCGAAAAATATGCGAGTTTTTCGGCAGAATAATTATTTTATAGTGTTCATTGTTTGGCCTTTTTTAGTGTCAGTTTGGGGCTTTTTTATTATTAGTTTTGTTTAACTAAAAAAAGATGCTACTAATTTTTTAAATTTTAACCCTCATAAACGTTTCCTATAGCTCATTCATACTTATTTATGTAAAAAATACATAACTTGTCAGTGTTATTCTTAAAAAATACGTCCCTATTTTTTTGTCCCCAGTCAGCTTGCTTCGGTAACTTTAATCAACTCAAAATCTAGTTTAATGCCGCGACCACACAAGCTGCATTTGGCGATTTCCGAGCGCTCGTCGCCGATCTCCGATCAGTGTGGACAGGAAAGTTGGAATTCGGCGACTCGTCTCTGTGTTGTTGCTCTCAGAGCTGGGCGATGCCCGCATGTGTGGACGGAAAGACGAAGTTCGATGACAAGCGCTTAGTTAATTGACGAGCGCTCGGAAATCGCCGACTGCGTGTGCGGTCGCGGCACAATAAAAATACTTAAGAAAGAAGTCTATCACTATTTTTATGGCGAATACCATTAGTAAATCAGTGCACCCGTGGTACGCCAATACTGCAATTTTTAAAAACCGTTGGTAAATTTGGGCCAATTTTTTAAATATATACTATTGAAGCAACTATTGAACTGTTGTGCAATTTTTGGACTGAATGCAGATATAGTGCCGCACCTAGTCTTAATGCTTTTGCTGTCCCAGTTCAATGTTTAGCACTATTGGCAATGAACTAGTACAATTTTTTCTTGCACGGGGTTAGTTGTAGTTACCGCTCGGGGGCAAAACTTAATTTACCAGTGTTTTCACTATTACATTCATTCATTAGAGACGGAATCGACTTCATGGCACGTCATTTTTGACAGATTTGATTTTTTTGATATTTTCCGAATTTATTTTAAATCTTAAACAAAGTGTTATAATCATATTTTCTCTTTACCATCTTTTTATAGAACAGGCTATGGAGAAAAACACGTCAACCTAACCAATCGAGCTCCTGCATCGGAACTGACCCAAACCGTAACTTTGAATACTACTGGATGTTTGCTGGGGCCAGTGCTGACCCCTGTGACGAGACGTATGCTGGTCCACAACCATTTTCCGAGCCAGAAACAGCAGCACTCGCAACATACGCGCTCAGAAACAGGCATCAGATCAAATTGTACATCAGCTTTCATAGTTATGGAAATATGATACTATATCCATGGGGGTGAGAATAAAAATAATTATGAAATAAGAAGTTAAACTTCATTAATTTAAATACATCCCACAAACAAATTTGAATAAAACACCCTGTATATTTTACGAGGATCAGATACACAATTTAATTGTCTATCAAATTGTATTACACCATTTTTTACCTATCTCTTCAAGTTTTCGTAGAAAATGCATTTTATTATAGTTTAGACCTCATTTTTCAATATACCCATGGAATATTGACATTTTAGATTTTTTAAAGCAATAAATGTACAAAATGTACAGGTGCTAAAAACGACAATATTGCAAAAAAATGAAACAAAATTTATAAAGTGTTACTTTTTACACACATACAAAATTCAGTTTTATGTAGTATTAACAGTCAATTAATGTAGTTTGCATATTTAGATCATATTGGTTGGGCCTCTAACAAATATTTGAAAAGTTTTTTTTTAATTTTTTAATGAAATAAGCGAATTATATCGGAAATATTAGTATCTGGTACTATTTGAAAATTTGTTACATCTTTAAAAATAATCGAGGGGTAAACCGCAGAGGAATTATGGTGTACACTATGAAGGAATTCTACAGGAATTCCAAGGAATTACGAGGAATTCCAAGGAATTCCATAGGAATTACTAGGAATTCCAATTATTTCCGTAAGAATTCCAATGAATTCCAAGGAATTCCTTAGAAATTTAGAGGAATTCCACAGGAATTAAGAGGAATTACAAGCAACTTTATAAAAAATTAACGAACATTAGTAAACCATGAATACTATAATAGGTAGTACTAAATTTAAAGAAAAACGTTTTGCAGGCGATTTTTACTATCCGTTTTTTCTTTTTCGCTTCCAAAATTTCCCAATATCAAATATCTACAGGTTAGATATTCTTTTAATTTAATATTGTACCCTCGATTATATATCTAAAATATTTTCCAATAGTACGGCCGAACCACCCCCGAGAGATCTAGTTATAACGTTCCCTGATTTCGCCATTTTAAAGAAATCCTCATAAGATTTTTTTATTCAGTACTCCAGAAAGTGTAAAGTTGATTTTTTCATTTCCTCGGAATAATACCTAGGTATATACTATAGGAAAATTAATACAACTTTAGGTGCACTTCATCAATGATACCATGCGTAATCTTATGGAATTTACTGGTGATCGTATTATGACGTGCAACTGAAGTTTTATTAATTTCCTTTCCTATAGATACGAGTATAACTAGGTACCTCTCATTTTCAAAAAATCCCGAGAAAAATTAATTTTAATAAGTAAGTGCCGACATATTTCCAGTATTTTTACCTCATGATCCCCTATTGGTACTAAAATTTAACTAAAAAAACGTAAATCTCGTAATAGTACTTTTTATTGTTAGATCTAGTACTTATAGAGACATTAGACATTTATAAAAATCACCAGAAAATTCATAGCGGAACTGCGAAACCGAGGTGGCAACGCTGGTTCAGACTGAAAGAGTTCCGAGAGTTCGTACCAAGGAATTCCAAGGAAGACCTTGAATGATTGACCTTGACCTTGAAGACCAGGAATTCCAAGGAATTCCGAAGGAATTACGAGGAATTCTGAGGAATTATTTGAGTAAAAGGAATTACGGTGTATACTTTTCCCTCTGCGGTTTACCCCTCGAAAATAATCTAAAATATTCATATTCCATGGATATGATAAATGGGGTCTAAATTATAAGAAAATGCATTTTCTACGAAAACTTTAAGAGATATTTAAAAAAAATGGTATATAGTATTATACCATGATTGATAGACAATTAAATTTTGCATCTGATTCTCGTAAACTATACCATAATCAAATTTACCTTTATTTAAATCGTAGAATCTAAAAATATAATAATATACAGGGTGTTCCGTTTAAAAAAATACAACTATAATATTTTTACTTATTTGGGACACTCTGTATCTTGTAAAAATATTTGTAAATTGTAGCTCTAATAGTCGTTCAACGAACCCAAAACTTGCAACTTTTAAAAATCTAATCGTTTAGCTACAATACTCCGTGCCGTAAGTGGTGACCAACCCTGTACAATAATTCTAATATGAATTTTTTAAACGAACCGTATTGTAAACAATTACACTTACGATTTACCAAACTTCGAACGAGCCGTAGAAAGGCATAAGTCGCATACGAACAATTCTCATGACTTTACGACTCGTTCGTTCAAATCTTATCAATCCGTGCTGGCCACGATTCATAACTTATGTTATATATATGATTATGATTATATATGATTTAATACTCGTTCAAGTGAACGAGCCATTCAATGTTTTCCCACCTCCAATCTGAACAATCTTAAGACTTCTTTATTCTATTCTGTTCAGCATAGTTTCTGGTACTTTTATCGGTATTTTTATCTCGTTATATTTCCATACGATATCTCTACTCTTGACATTTTCTACTGCATCCACTTAAGTTCAAAACAATAATAATGCAATATCACAGATAACCGTAGATAACATAGATATTAAATCAATTTTTGACAAAATTGTTTTATTATCTATACCACTTTCAGATTAGATATAGATATACCATAATCTATATTATTCTTTATTTGATAACAGATACACTAACGATCTGCCAGATAACGCTGACGAACTCCAGTGGCTTGGTGAATTAGCAGGCTTGGCAATTGGTAGAGTTAGTACCCTCAATTCTCGTTACGTAGTTGGTAGTTCCACAAACGTTCTCTATGCAGCAGCTGGTGGAAGCGACGATTGGGTCAAAGGAGTAACGGGTGTTGGTTTGGCTTACACCATCGAACTTCCAGCTGGTGGTAAGCAAATTTTTCGAACTAAATATGAAATTATCTACAAACCACTGTACAGGGTGGGTCAAATTCGACGCTTTTAAATGGAAACACCCATATAGGAGATAGACGAAAACTAATATCGGTGTCTGGAGCTCAATTTTCATCAAAAACATGATGGTGAAAACCGTACATGAATATCTGTTACCGTTTCGGAGTTACGGGGTGTTATTCAAAAATGTGCATTTTTAACAAATCGCTGTAACTTTTTTGCTATCGAAAATTTTGTATTTCTATAAAAACATTTCCAGAGCACCTTTTTACGTAGAATTTAATGGTTAAAGTATATTTTTTTTTAAATTAATCATTTAAGAGTTATCAACAGAAAAATTGATTTTTTATTTGGGACACCCTCTATATTTTTAATTAACTGAAAAGAATTTAAAATTACCTTTCCAAAAATGTAGCACATATGATATTTTGTTATAATCCCCTTCGAAATAGAGAATTTTTAAAAGTTCGCCACTTTTAACTAGTAGGCTTTGGACCCTTTATTGATGATATGCTCTTAATGGAACTCGAAAACATATTTTTCCAGCAAGACGACGCACCGCCTCTGATCGCTGAAGTTATCAGCAAATTTTGCATCCAATTTCAAGAATAATTGAATAGCCAACCAAGATTCCAGCCATGCCCATGGATCTAATCCTATCGATATATTTGCGGAAAAATGAAGGTTCCTTATTCTTCCGTATAATCTAGACAAGAATTAGAAATACTTAGCAGTTATGAGAGGGTATCTTTCACCCCCACTTAGTTAATGAATTCCGCGAGAATTGTTCAAAAACTGCCCCGTCTGTCCATAACAGAAGACGGTTGATATGTCGAACATCTATAGCAAAATCTCATATCTTGGTTTGCTATTTATTTTTCTTGTTACTAGATATAGTTTAAGTGTGTTGATGTTGATTAAATATATTTTAAATAGTTATAAAATTCTGCATCTCTCATAGCAAATATTATTTTCGTTTTAATTGATGCTCACAGCAGATTTTTTTTTGCATTACAGCCGGTGCCGTTCAAAGCCTACTCATTTAAAGCGGGCGAATTTTTATATACTCTATATCTCGAAGAGGAATCGAGCAAAATATCAAGTGTGTTATATTTTTGAAAAGGTAATTTTAAATTATTTTCAATAAATTAAAAATATACAGGGTGTCCCATATAAAAAATCAAATTTTCTGTTGATAATTCTTAAATTATTAATTTTAAAAAAATTATACTGAAACCATTAAATTCTACGTAAAAGGTGCTTTGGAAATGTTTTCATAAAAATACGAAATTATCCATAACAAAAAAGTTACAGCGATTTGTTAAAAGTGCATATTTTTGAAAAACACCCCGTAACTCCGAAACGGTAACAGATGCGGTTTTCACTATCATATTTTTGACAAAAATTGAGCTCCAGACACCGATATTAGTTTTCGTCTATCTCCTATAGAAACGGGTCCATTTAAAAGCGTCGAATTTGACCGCAATAGTGCGTCGGGCATCTGCAGCTCCTAGATTAAAAAAAACTTGAGAATTTTGTTTAAGTGCAAACCTAAAGTATACACATTTAACAATCCAATTGTACCGGATAGGGTCTCAGAGTGAGTTGTATCAAAACGGCAATTCTGCTAATTGGAGTGCGACAAACCGTCGAATTGGCCACTTTAACCAATCGGCATATATTTATGAAATACCTAGTCGCTTATCAAAAAATTGACCATTAAAATATTGTTAATAAATGTCTAGGCAAATAGCTATTTGTCTACATTTGCTTTATGTCCATCACATATACAGAGTCCGGCAATAGCGCGTCGGGCATCTGTAGCTCCTAGAATAAAAACTTGAGAATTTTGTTTAAGTGCAAACCTAAAGTATGTACCAGGATGTATTTCAGGAAAATATTTTATCTTCTATAGGGTGGCTCAAAAAAGTGTGAGTGGACCTGGATGATTTTTTTTAAATAGAACATCCTGTATATTATTGCATTTTTGACTTTCTTTCAGATCACTTTACATAACCCTAAGATATGAATAAATAAATTTCGATTAGTTTCAGAGATATTAAAAAATAAATCAAGAGTATATATTTTTCAGCCCTTTTTAAAAAAATTATTAAAAATACAGGAACTGTTCTGAAATCAGTACATTAGGCATTTACTTTAGATGGTCTGTTCTTACTTTGCTATAAATATGGTAATCGTAAATCATACAGGATGTTCAAAATTCTACGCCAAACTTTCTAAAATATAAAATAATTTTTCTTCTTAGAAAAATCATCCAGGTCCACTCACACTTTTTTGAGCCACCCTATAGAAATTAAAATAATTTCCTGAAATACATCCTGGTACATACTTTAGGTTTGCACTTAAACAAAATTCTTAAGTTTTTTATTCTAGGAGCTACAGATGCCCGACGCGCTATTGCCGGACTCTGTATATGTGATGGACATAAAGCAAATGTAGACAAATAGCTATTTGCCTAGACATTTATTAACAATATTTTAATGGTCAATTTTTTGATAAGCGACTAGGTATTTCATAAATATATGCCGATTGGTTAAAGTGGCCAATTCGACGGTTTGTCGCACTCCAATTAGCAGAATTGCCGTTTTGATACAACTCACTATGAGACCCTATCCGGTACAATTGGATTGTTAAATGTGTATAACAATTCCGTGGCATTGAGGAAACGAATGACTTCCATTATGCTCTTCCATTATACAGGGTGTTTCAAAAAACATGTGTCATCTCTCGTGAACAGGTTCCTCACGTAAAAATAAGATTTATTTTTCATATCAACATAAGTCCAACTCTGCTTTATTTCGTAGCTAGAGGGTATTCAAATCCAAGTACTTTTAGCATTTCGAATGATATTTTGAGGGTAAAAGGTACTATAAATTGGACATATTTTAAAACTAAAAAAGTGTGGACATATTCAATAGGGACGTGCATATAGGTTATCACTGGAATATTTTTCTAAAAAAACATATACGTCACTCACTTTTTTTCTCTTGTTACGACGAAATAGTGTAAGCAGTGTAATGCCGATTAAAAGTTGTCTCTAGATATTTTGTAGATTTCGGCCTCCTTGATGAGATAATGCAATTTTATTATTTCTTTTGATCCAAGTCTGATAGCAACTTAAAAAAAAAATAAAATCATTAACTTGTAAAAATTTTAAATAATTACTCGTTGACTCCGCATCAAAAAATATGAAAACAAGTTTCTATAAACATGGGTATGGAAATGCATAGTTTTAGAGTTACAGGATCTTAAACCTTTTCAAAATTAGGTTTTTTGTAATTATCTTCAATACCATTATTTTTTTTTATTTAAAATTGCTGTAGGTTGGACTAATAGTAATAATAACTAATAGTAATAATATTTAATAATAAATTAGAAAAAATATATAATTTATTAATGTTGTTTTAATTTTAATTTTATTCATTGTGATTAATAAAATTGCGTTTATCTCATCAAGGAGTCCGATATCAACAAAATAACAAGAAAATAATAAAAGATATAACTTAATTGGCATTAAACGGCCTACACAATTTTGACAATTTCAAAAAGAAAAAAATCAACAGAAAGAAGTCAGTGGTGCACATGTTTTTTTTTGAAAAATATTCCGGTGATAACCCATATGCACGTCCCTGGTGAATTTATCGACACTTTTTTAGCATTAAAATATGTATGATTTATAGTAACTTAGCATTATAGTAATTTAGCATTAAAATGTGTGTGATTTATAGTAACTTTTACCTTCACAATTTGATTCCGAATCACTAAAAGTACTTGGAAGAAAATTATAATAAATCGAAAGATTATTAAGACTCTAACATCCTGTAGCTACGAAACAAAACAGAATCAGACCTATGTTGATATGAAAAATAAATCTTATTTTTACGTGAGGAATCTTCCCACGGGAGATGGCACATGTTTGTTGAAACACCCTGTAGAATAAAAATTCAACCAATAATAGTGAGAAAATAGCATATTCAAACCCAAAAATTATATTGAAATATACAGAAAATACTTTATTAAAAATATAAAGAAAAATATAGAGAACAAATGGCAACAACAATCAAATTGATTGGTCTCAATCATTCCAAATCTTTCGGCCAATCAGTCACCCATACCAAAAAATTAACAAAAAAAAACTCTCACTTCACTTCACTGTTAGGCGCAGTGGCGCAAACCCCCGCAGCTGCGGGGGGGCCCAGACCCAACAGGGGCCCGAAACCTCTGAGGCCCGGGAATAAAATAATATAAATATAGAATTATTCCCAAAATAGGGAATAGGGGAGGAGGCCGGGGGGGCCTAACGCAAGTTTCGCGAGGGGCCCATAATTTGTCGCTACACCACTGGTTAGGCGGTACAATTTTAGACAGGCCAGCTAATTATAAAAAAGAATAAATATTTTATTATAACTGTTTTATACAATTTTTTTTCTTTTTGAAGGTCTTTTTGGATTCAATCCACCAGCAACTAGCATTCTGCCCATTGTGCAAGAGACGTTTGAAGGCATTACAATATTCCATGCATATGTAGAAGCAGCATATAGCAAAAATTAAAACACAATTGTTTTTTTTCTCAATCTAAATAAATATTTTACTTATACTAATATTAAAACTAGTTTTCTTTTCCTTGAATGTACATTTTTTTTTATTTTGGGTGTTTCAATATTCTTAACAGTTTTTCTGACAAATCAGGGTATTATCGTTGATTGAAGGAATTGGGAAGATACGCATCCATTAGGGCAAATTCGTGACAAGGCTGATTTGATTTCTCCTTACGTCTCAAGTGCTGTACAGTGGAGCTTCTACTCGTTCTGCAGCCAACGCATAAAACGTTTATTTTCTCTAATTTAGCCAGCGAAGGCATAATATCTAAGACGGTGTGGAAGTGAAAACGCCAGTGTTGCCATATTAAAATGTGTAATATCTCTAATACGTTTGACGAAAATATCTTTAGATAAAAAATCCGCGTATGTGTATTGAAAATTTATTCGTGTTAAACATGAATAAACAACAAAAATTACACAACATTGACAAACGTATCGGCTCTTGAAAAAGCTAGCTGCGAGAGCGCAGAGGTCATGATTACTAAATCCCGCTTAAGATGGGCTAGTCATGTATGCAGGATGCAAGAAAACCGCCTACTGAAATCTCTCCTCTGATGAGCTTGCAGGCGGTAAGAAGATCTACAGAAGACGGTACAGCGTAATGATATTTTTGAATGTCCGAAGTGAGGAAGAGAGATAACTTCACGTATCGGGCTTTTCAATCAGAGAAAAGCTCATGAAACAAAACGCCTTGTGTAACCATCTTCTGATGCGTGTGAAATAATACTCGTCAGCGAGTAATGGCAGTAAGTGTCAAAAAAAGTGACTGGGAAAGGGTGGTATTTTTTAAATGGACCCCCTGCATATTATTGTATTTTTGGCTACAACCGTCCTGATCACTTTACATAGTCTTAAGTTGTTTTTATAGTTCCAGAGTAATAAATCAATACCTACATAAAAAATACTTAACTTATACTAGTTTCTTATAAAAAAATACGCATTATTTTTTGAAAAATTAATTAAAATTATGTACGAATTTACCTCGTAGAATCAAAACAACGCTCTGTGTTTACTGTAATTGGCTTTTATTATAACGTTGTAAATGTAAATTGTACAGGAAATTCCTTGCAAAACTTGCTATATTATAAATTAACTTTTTTGCTTTTTTAGTTGGGAACACCATGTATATTGTTTTTTTTTTAGTCGCAGAATTATTAAATGAACTTTGTTTCTAAAGTGTTTTATCAAAGCCACCCGAAGGTTTCTCACTTGGGTAAAAAATGTACATGCAAGTACTACCAAAATATAATTGGCAATCAAGACTGCCTACGACTGCCATGTAATTATTATGGGTGACTACCCTAAGACTGCCAATGACTGCAAGCGACTGACAAGAAAATGTACATGTAATATAAATAGTGAGACACCCCTCTAAGCCACCTAACAATGTTTTGTCTTGTATCTCTATTCTATATAAATCTCTATCAAAGGGCCATATAATACCGTTGATTGAAAAAATAACATGTGGAACCTTATGGGCGATTTTGTGACACAAAACCTGCCCGAGATGTAGCTGGCGGTGCGTCGCCACTAACTAGATCCAGCTAAACTAAATCTCGGACAGGTTGACTAGTGGCGTGAGTTTTTGGATCATACGAAATCTTCAGTACCTATAAAGAATTTTTAATTTTTGTTGTTTATTCTATGTTTATTATGATACGATAAGTTTTTATAAGATGTCTCTGTTGCAACATATTTAATGCGCTTGTGTGCCGGCGGTACGGCGCCGGCGTCGGCACCCAGGTTTCGCCTCCATATAACATGGTGCTGGGGATTATTACTGCTCGGTACACTGCAAGTTTTGTCTTTGTGCTCAATCCGTGATTGTAGAAAACCCTGTCTTTTTTTCCAGAACGCTCTTGAGGCGCTGCTAATTCTGTGCTGAATTTCTGAGTCGATATTGGCCTTTTCTGAAACCAAACTGAGAAAACAACTAAAAGAGAAATAAGAAAAGATCCTAGGGAGTATAACAGAAACCAAATTTTGGAAACAATAGAAGCATGAAAGTGTTAAGACGCAAGCAAATGCACGGAAAACAAAAAATAATAAAGATAAGAAACACACATGGCATTATAACAACAGACAAACATGAAGTTAGAAATGAAATACACCAATTCTACGAACAACTTTATCAGTCTGTTATACCAAACAAAGATAGAGTACAAAAACACATTACAAACATAGGATCAGAAGACATGCCAGAAATATCAATCACAGAAATTAAATACGCACTTCAACAAATAAAGATGGCAAAAGCCCAGGACAAGATCGTATCACACCTGAAATGCTGAAGATGGGCGGAAAACCATTAGTGGATGCCGTAGAAGTATTGTTAAATATGTCTGATGTCTGATGGAGGGTAGAATCCCTGACGCATGGAAAAACGCAGAAGTTGTGCTATTATACAAAAAAGGAAATTATACAAATATATAGAATATAGACCAATAAGCCTTCTCTCGCACCTATACAAGCTCTTCACTAGGATTATCACAACCGACTTCCTATCAGCCAATAGAACAGGCAGGCTTTCGAAAAGGTTTTAGTACCATCGATCATCTACAAACAATTAAAACAGTCATTGAAAAAATATCTGAATACAATATACCGCTACATTTGGCCTTTGTAGACTACCAAAAGGCCTTTGACAGCATTGAAACCTGGTCATTTTTAGCTACAATGGAGGACGCGAGAATCGATTCAAGATATTATTCCATTATTAAAAATATGTATAATAGTGCAACCTTCCAAATAAATTAGACGATTAAAAAACAGGAAAAATACCACTCGGCAAAAGGGCGTGAGACAAGGAGATACAATCCCAATCAAGATCTCTCCCAAGTTATTTACACTGGCACTGGAAAAAGTCTTCAAGAAATTAGAATGGGAAAATAGAGGTCTAAACATTGATGGGGTAAACCTTAGCCATCTCGCAGACGATATTGTCTTGCTAAGCACCGACATTCAAGAACTGAACACCATGCTAAAGGATGTAAATGATCAATCCCAGAAAATTGGCCTTAAAATGAAAAGAAGACCAAGATAATGAGCAACAATATCCATAACATTACCGTAAACAACGTTGTTATTGAAAACGTAAACCATTATATATATATTTAGGTCATAAAATCAAGCTGGGTAAAGAGAACCAAAATATGGAGATCAAACGCAGGATCCATTTGACATTGGTAGCATTTGGAAATATGAGTGATATTTTCAAGGATAAAAAGGTGCCCATCAACCCAAAGAAAAAGGCTTACGACAGCTGCATTACCTGTGCTTACGTATGGCTTAGAGACTATGGCAATTACCCGAAAAACAGCAGAACAACTGCGAGTAGCACAAAGAACCATGAAAAGAATCATGTTTGGAGTCACCATTAGGGAAAAAATACGGAACACCCACATACGTCAAAAAACAAAACTAATAGATGTTGGCAAGTCTGAAGTGGTAATGGATAGGACATGTGGCAAGACAGGATCCAGACCGATGGCCCCAAAAAGTAATTCTATGGAGACTTAGGTAAACAACAAGAAGTGTGGGCCGACCAATCTTGCAACGGTCTAAGACACTCGAAGAAGTTTCTGAGGGCTTACGATCAAGAAAAATCAAAGATCTTCATCCTGTATTCCTGGATTTAAGTAAGAACAATCTTCGGATTGTCACGGGGTTTTTAACAGGACACTGTCTCCTCAACGAACACCTCAGTAGATTGAAACTAAGAAAAAACGGCGAATGCAGATTCTGTGGGGAAAATGGGGAAACACCAGTACACCTCATCACTAAGTGCGCCGAGACGACAACCATTCGTGCCATGAACTTTGGTACGACTGATATTGGAGATAGAGAACTACCCTCTATTTAACCGTCCCAGGTACTGGCTTTTGTCAAAGCCCTGGGACTGTATGGTACCTCAAGTAAAGAATTGTATGATAACTCAAGAAAGGGGGACACAATAGATCTGTAAGGTCGCAGTGATTAACCCCCTCCCACTTATTCTAAATTCTAAAAAAAAGTGGGCCGACCAAAAAAGAGATGGGTCGGTGACGTCAGAACAGGAAGACTGGAAGTCTGAAGCATGGAAAAACCTAGAAGAGGCCTATATCCAACACTGGATGGAACCAGACTGAGAAAGATGAAGAAGAAGAAGAAATTTGTTGGATATTCCGAACTTTTTCATAATTGGCCAAAGTGCATTTGTGTTTACAGAGTCAAAAGTTTTTGTTAGATGTTTAAGATCTATGATTATGTATTAGAATATAAAGTTTACACTGCTGCTTTTTTACTTTTTCCTGTAGTTGGCGGACGGAGAATGTGGAATCGACGGTGCCGCGGTTGGGGCAAAAACCCATTTGCGATTCTGGGAGGATTTTTTCTATATGTGGGTGCAGACGGTTTGACATAATTTTTGCAATAATGTTGTTATTTTTGAAACACCCTGTATACGTAAACATATTTTCCTGAAATATAGTTCAGATCTGCACTTAAACGGAACCCCAAGTTCCTTAAAAATAAAGATCTATTTTTATTTTTTATATCCGACGCATTTATTACAGAACCCTGTATAATGTTCTAGGCTAGTATAAAAAAACTGGACAGTATTTTATGATGCCGTAATCTTATACCTCAATAAAAATATTAAAATTCCTTGAATTACAGGTGATATTAGAAACTTAATGAAAAACAAGTAGGTAAGCGTGGATTTAAAGTGTAATTTTATCTCATATCTCCCATTAATTTATTGAATCAATATTTCCTTCGTTGTAAGATTTATGAAGATGGACGACCCATAAAAGTTTTCAATCCAGATATATTGCAGTTTAAAAACCGGAAATCGTCACTTTGAGGCGAGTGATTCGACAAAATGCTTCTGAAAGCAAGCTTTGCAGTTTTGTGTGCCTTGTCCCTTTTGAATTGGACCAATGGTTTTAATTATGAAGGGTAAGAAGAATCAAATAATGAATAATATACTATTACAGAAAAAGTGAAAAAA